ACCTCTTCTTTTTTTTCCCTTTCTTTCTTTCTTTTTTTTTTTCTAGAACCTCATCTTTATAAATTTTTTTTTCTTCTTCTTTCTTATTCTTCCCTCCCAGGGAAAAAGGAAAGGAATCAACTCTCAAAGAAGCTAATGGCAATATTATTTTTAATCATTCTATGGAAGTTAGCCAACATCTAGGGCTCCCCTTAGAGACTTAAGGCATTTTAGACATGAACTTTCATCAAAGGCTAAAAAGAAACAAAACCACTTTTACCAATTCCCAGGCCCCCAACTGGCTTCTACCCCCAACCCCATCCATATGGGTACTTGGTCTTCACTGACCACAAACTTAGATCCCAAATGGAGTAATCCCTAAATAAACACACACACACACACACACACACACACACACACACACACAAATATATATGATATATATTCTTAAAATATATTCTCTAGTCCAGAAGCAGATCATTTCCTTGGGGTTCAGATGTATCACTGTCTGACAAAGAGACATCATATTTATGTGAGCCTGTCCATGTATAAGTGAAGTAAATCCCAGACCCATAACTGCTACCAGCTATTTCCTTTTTATTGTTCGTTAGCCTTTGCAATTCAATTCTAAACATCTTTCCAAAAACCAACCATTCCCTTCTTTTAGCTTTCCTACCCCCACAAACGGCTGATTTCCCCATCTCCTCAGCCATATCCATCTCAGGGTCTGATTGCCTCCTATCCAGGCTATGTCAGCTAAGAATAGTAACCCTCATTATATCGATGGCTTTGAATGAAACCAGAAGTGTGTACATGTTGGGTGCAGAGTTTCTCCAAGCCTGTTCCAACTGAGAACTATTTAGTCAGCTTTCCTGGGCCTCCTGCGACACCTGAAGATCCACATGGGACAAACCTGAACAGTCTATATACTCTTGATTATCTGCTCATTTCTTCCTGAGACTCTCTGCTCCTTCCACGAAACCAGATCACAGAGGCTCACCCTAACTCTGCAGACCTAAGCCTAGAGAACAGCGAGAAGACATGATTGCATATGGCGCCCTAGTAATTGAAACGATCTTGCAACGTCTTTGATTGATTCTCCTGCTTTGGGCAGTATTTACCTCCAAACACCACACACATAGACACACATAGACAGTTTGCCCATCCCTCTGGTGCTTTAATATTTCCTCCAGAGGAAAATTCTGTGCGGATATTGTTAATGAAGACAACAACTGTGATAGTGCTATTGTTTCAGAAGAGGACACTCTGCTTGATGGGCAAAACTCCCATGAGGATGAAAATTTGAATAAAATCGGAAATTTGTTTATCACTAGCACAAAGAGAGGGGAGATACATAGTGGTGGTGAATCCGACCTAATTGGCTAGTATGTAATAAGCAAAAATCGTTGCCCCCAAAATAACTAGGGGCAGAATTGCATCCATTAAGCTAGTGTATATAATGTATCTAGAATCTCATAAAAGAACCCTGGGGGCAGACCCACGTGTTTCAAAAACCATTTGTGGAAAACTCACAGTGTTACGTCAACTCATACATCCAACAGAGCCTGCTAGTTTTGTCCCTGGTTCTCACACTCTCTTTCACGTTCCCATTTGGCAGGTTAAGGAATAGGGAAAGGGGCGCCTGGCTGGCTTAGTCAGTAGAGCAAGTGACTCTTCATCTCAGGATTGTGAGTTCAAGCCCCACACTGGGCGTGTTAAAAAAAAAAAAAAAAAAGTCAATGGTTTTATAAGTAATCTTTTCTACCTTTGAACGTTGGACCAGGTTGAAAGGTAGCTGGGGAGAGGAATCAGTCTTAGAGAAAGTCAGAGTTGAAACAAAAAATGGAGCATTTAGCAGTAACTGAAGCATGGCCCAAGATGAAATCTTTTCCGTAAGAGGGAACTAGAAAACTCGATTGTTAAGGTTGAATACTTAGTGACTGACACATGAGGTATGAGGCTGAGGGGACTCTTTCGTTCTCACACTGACCTTCATCCTCGAAGGGTTTGTTGGTATCATCAGACACAGACTCGGACCCTCAGGGGGGACACAGTGCAATTCTGTAGAGCGGTATGCCCTCTAGGAAAATCAGAGACAGCGATTCTGCCATTTTAGATTTCAAAGACAGAGCAAAGCTTTTTACCTCAGAAACTAATTTTCCTTATTCCATTTCTCCTCTCCCCTCCTTCCCCTCTCTCCTCTCTCCTCTTCCTTTGAGGTCTTCTTCCCACAGACGAGTGTATCCTTCAAGCAAGTGAAATTGGGCCTTCAGGCGAGCGGACCAAGACAGCCCTGTTCATCACCTCCTCCATTATGCTGGTGCTTCTGCTCGGGGCGGCGGTGATTGTCTGGAAGAAATCACGGGGCCGAGCCCAGCCAGTAGCAAAAGCCGGCTATGAGAAGCTGGCCGACCCTGGCAAGTCATATGTTTCCTATAAGAGCAGCCATCTTGAAAGCACCAGCTTTGAAGAAGATCAGGTCATTGAGTACAGGGACCAGGACTATGATGAGGAGGAGGATGATGACATCGTCTACATGGGCCAAGATGGCACCATCTACCGGAAATTTAAGTATGGGCTGCTGGATGATGATGAGGATGAGCTGGAATACGACGATGAGAGTTACTCCTTCCAGTAGACAGAGCCCTCCCCCGCCTTCGACCCGCCCCATCCTGTCCCAGGCATTACCGTTTTGGGGTTTTAGTCCCACACACCAGGCTGATGTGTGGGTGTTTGTGTCCTCTTAACCCTGAGTCCAGCTAGAGCTAGTAAGAAATGCTGAATGATTGGTTCTTCTTTGGGGTGACTACATTCAATCGACCGTAACTGGGGAACAAGGATAAAATTCAGAGGGATTTTCCTCAAAATAATATGTCAAAATACAGAAGTGAAAAAAAAAAAGTGAGATTTGTACAAACTGTTTCATGGGATTGAAAAAAAAAAAAGCGGTGGGCCTATAGGAATTCTGTTTCTCAGCGATATTGCGGGGATATTTGCTGCCTTCTGGAATTCTGATATTTCTGTAAATGGTTTTGGGGGGACAGGGAGAGGAAAGAGATTCTTGTTTGTCTTCGGGGATTTTTCTCCCCTGTGAGCTATCTGTAGGCAGAGGTTGGCTCTGTAAGGGCCAGCTAAAGAGGGCTCACCACCTCATGCCACTTATCACCCTGTTCCTCCCCAAAGAAAGAGTTGGAATGGATTCCAACATGGAAAAATCCCAACGTCCTACTCACCAGCGTAACAACCCAGTTGCCCACCAGCCTTCCAGAGCTCTCTACCTCTGGGATCTGTTTTTAGACGTCCTAGGCTTCCCTTGGTCCACTCTCCTGTCCTGTACACGCTTGGATTTGTGCACGAGGCACAGTTTTCTACAAATAGCAATCCAGAGGGAAGGGCTCTTACTGGGTGAAATTACATAGGCCGGGTTTTGCGGATTTCCTTGTCAAAGCAGAAATTACAGGCAATGTTAGGAGGGGATCGCAAGAAAATGACGTTTTCGGATGATAATGCTACTCAGAAAAAAATTTATTGCACACCTACTATGTGCTAGGTACCGAGCTAAATAATGCCTTTCAGAAAAAAATCAACCCACTTAATACCATGACTTCATGAGGTTGGTACCATTATTGTTCTGTTTTTATAGGGAACCTCAGACTTCCTGAGAGGTTATGTAACTGGCCCAAGGTCACAGAAAGCTAAGCAAGATTCCTGGAAAAAGAATGACCCTAAAAGGCATATTCTTTTTTTTATTTAAAAAAAATTTTTTTTTTCAACGTTTTATTTATTTTTGAGACAGAGAGAGACAGAGCATGAGCGGGGGAGGGGCAGAGAGAGAGGGAGACACAGAATCGGAAACAGGCTCCAGGCTCTGAGCCATCAGCCCAGAGCCCGACGCGGGGCTCGAACTCACGGACCGCGAGATCGTGAGCTGGCTGAAGTCGGACGCTTAACCGACTGCGCCACCCAGGCGCTCCAAAAGGCATATTCTTAATAACTATGCTAGACTGGCATAAAATAAAAAGGAACCTAAATATAGTAAAAGCATGTATATTATTTTATGATATGGCAACTCTATTACCTTTACGAAATCCATGCATTTTTCTTGTCTTTGAATGTAACGAATCATGGATACGGGAAATCTCTGTGAAGAAGTCTTCATTGTACTGAAGGCCTCAGTGTTGCTTTAGGGGAATATGCTCTTAAAACAAAGGTTGGCAAACTTTCTCTGGAAAGGGCCAGATAGTAAATACTTTAGGCTTTGCACGACAATCAACTCGGCCACATGGAACAAATGGGTGGGCTATGTTCCAATTAAACTTTATTTATGGACACTGAAATTCAAGGGAATTTTCATGTGTCATGAAATTTTATTCTTCTTTTGATTTTTTTTTTTTCCTTCCATCACTTAAAAATGTAAAACCGTTCTTAGCTCAGACTGGCCACCAGAGTACAGTTTGCCGACCTCGTCTTAAAAATCTATTTTTAAGAGACCATGTGTATTAAACACACAGGATATGCCTCCACCATTTTTGACGATTTAAAATCATCTCTTCAAGATTTATTTGAAGCCCTGTTAGTTCCCTTTTCAATTCTTAGAGATTAAAAATAGCTGTAAGATAGCCATCATCATCAATGGAATCATTTCTTATCCCTCTGCTGTGTAATTATGGAGTGTAGCCTATGCAAATGAGTAACGTTGTTGATTCTGTGTTTTTCGTCTTCCCTGTTAATCCGAAAGCCCTGACAGAATGAGTTGGACGCGTCCTCGTGTAGCCTGGAAATAGTTTTCCAAGAAAAATCTGTGTTTATGATACACAGTTAATGACTAAATGAGGTTCGAAATAACCCTGAATACAAAGAAAAATTGTATTGTTACCTTATGTGAGCCGGAAAAAAAGGCTTGTGCTGTGCGTTGGTGCAGTTTGACGTGTTTCCTTTGTTCTTGATCATGCCACATTATCCTCAGGCTTCTTTTGAATACTATGCTAACGACTGTCTAAATAGATAAATAATGTGGTTGGAAAACAAAGTCCCTTTTTGGTTTTCTGTTTGCAAATAACTTGGAAATATTAAGAGGATCCCTTATAGACTGGAAATGCACTAAGAGGCTGAGCAAGGGCTTGGAAAGTTCCAGTTCATAGAAAGTAATTTTAAAACTGGAAACAAACTTAAATCAAGACCAGACAATGCTATGGGCAAGGGCTTGTTAACAGCCTATTTCTGGGCACTTTTTGTGTGATTGGTATTACGCTTTACCAAGTAAGAGACACAAAACAATGCTGTTTGTTAAGAGTGTTTCTTTTTCTCCTTTTTATCTTTCTACCTCCAATGACCGAAGTAGTCAGAGCAGTTTTGAAGCTTCTTCCTAAAGATCAATCTGTCAGCCCCACCCTCACTGTTTCAGTTAGGCCCCCAGGCTCTCTCCTCGGGGCCTTTCCTACTTCCTCTTGAATTCTGCTGAACTTCAGTCTTTCTCCCAATTTACCCTCCATCCCTCTATCAGAGATCCACCAGATCTTAGGTCCACCGGACCATCGCATTCAGGGATCCCCATCACCCACATGGACTATGACATTCAAAACTCTGCAAGATAGAGCCAATGCCTCTGTCACCCCCTAGTTCCTGCCCCCCCCCCCTTATTTCCCAGGTACTCCATACTTCTTTTTTTTAAGCTTATTTAGTTTTGAAAGAGAAAGCACACACATGTTCGTGTGCAGGGGAGGAGTAGAGAGGGAGAGAGAATCCTAAGAGGGTCCACACTGTCAACACAGAGCCCCACATGGGACTTGATCCCATGAACCGTGAGATCGTGATCGGAGCCGAAACCAAGAGTCGGACGCTTAACCGACTGAGCCAGGTGCCCCAGATTCTCTTCTTCTCACTTCTCTGGGATAACATCCTCTCATCTCACATTCTTGGGCACACACAGTTCATTCCTTGGAATATTCTTCCCTCACCTTGACCAATTGGAAGATTTCCGACCATCTTTTAAAATCATGTTCACTTCACTTATAACCTCTCCTGGAATGTCTTGAGGATGAATCACTTTCTCACCTCTCTTCTACCTAGGTACTCTGTGCATATAGTTTTTCACATCACATTGTGATGTTACCGTTTGATTGTACATCTGTATTTACTAAAAGAGGGGGCAGCTGCTTGATTCCTCGAAGTGGCTACTATTTCCTTTCCAGAATCTAGCACAGTGCCCAGAATGTGATGAACAGTCAAGAACTCTTGGTGGAATTGAATTTTAAGAAGATAGGACTCACATACACGAAACGACCAGACAGTGAGAACGGTCCTGGAGTGCAGTGTTAAGTGGAAAGGAGGAGGCGAAGTATTGTCCGTTAAGCATGAGAAAGACCAGATAACTCAAATTAGAGCCTGCTGGGGACGGTTTCATGGGGGGATTTGTGTGTGGACCTGATCTGAAAAAGAAAAGGGGATGTAGAAGATACTCCTCAAAATAGTCACTGGAGGGGCGCCTGGGTGGCGCAGTCGGTTAAGCGTCCCATGTGTATTAACACACAGGATATGCCTCCACCATTTTGACGATTTAAAATCATCTCTTCAAGATTTATCTCTGTTAGTTCCCTTTTCAATTCTTAGAGATTAAAAATATGCTTTGTAAGATAGCCATCATCATCAATGGAATCATTTTATCCCCTCTGCTGTGTAATTATGGAGTGTAGCCTATGCAAATGAGTAACGTTGTTGATTCTGTGTTTTCGTCTTCCCTGTTAACCAAAGCCCTGACAGAATGAGTTGGACGCGTCCTCGTGTAGCCTGGAAATAGTTTTCCAAGAAAAATCTGTGTTTATGATACACAGTTAATGACTAAATGAGGGGTTCAAATAACCCTGAATACAAAGAAAAATTGTATTGTTACCTTATGTGAGCCGGAAAAAAGGCTTGTGCTGTGCGTTGGTGCAGTTTGACGTGTTTCCTTTGTTCTTGATCATGCCACATTATCCTCAGGCTTCTTTTGAATACTATGCTAACGACTGTCTAAATAGATAATGTGGTTGGAAAACAAAAGTCCCTTTTGGTTTTCTGTTTGCAAATAACTTTGGAAATATTAAGAGGATCCCTTATAGACTGGAAATGCACTAAGAGGCTGAGCAAGGGCTTGGAAAGTTCCAGTTCATAGAAATATATTTTAAAACTGGAAACAAACTTAAATCAAGACCAGACAATGCTATGGGCAAGGGCTTGTTAACAGCCTATTTCTGGGCACTTTTGTGTGATTGGTATTACAGCTTTACCAAGGTAAGAGCCACAAAACATTGCTGTTTTGTTAAGAGTGTTTCTTTTTTCTCCTTTTTTATCTTTCTACCTCCAATGACCGAAGTAGTCAGAGCAGTTTGAAGCTTCTTCTAAAGATCAATCTGTCCCACCCTCAATTACTGTTTCAGCAGTTAGGCCCCAGGCTCTCTCCTCGGGGCCTTTCCTACTTCCTCTTAATTCTGCTGAACCAGTCTTTCTCCCAATTTACCCTCCATCCTCTATCAGAGATCCACCAGATCTTAGGTCCACCGGGATTCATCGCATTCAGGATCCCCATCACCCACATGCTGGACTATGACATTCAAAACTCTGCAAGATAGAGCCAATGCCTCTGTCACCCCTAGTTCCTGC